CAGAGCAGAAGTTATTTTCACAACCAACTGAACCTCTCTGGTCCAGCGCTTTTGACCTTTTATTTACAAAAGTCATGTGTAGCCTGCAAATCTTTGTCGTATTGCTCATTTCAAAAACGGAACCTCAAGTGAATGCACCAACTTCACCGGTGTATATTTACTTCCATGCGAAGATAGCGATATTCCCAGTAGAACCAACCTTAGATTAGTTAAGTGAGGATTTATTGCGACCAACCCGATGATACACTACAGTCATCGCGTTCGGCATATCCAACGATTAACGTTACGAGGACCAATAAGCGAATTGTTTAAGCCGATGTAGAGACCACTAGTCCCACGTACGACAGGTTGAACATATTCGGTATTGCTTACTCGGTACTGCTTACTCTTCTCCATAAATCTAGTCATGATGAATGACATTAAACGTGTCTCTAGTTTCTCCTCAAAAGTGTATATAGAGCGGCACATGCCTCTGCTTCAGCGAAGACAACCAGTAGCATATTCCTCAGTCACACGGTCGAACGGTGTATGACCCAAAGCATACGACAGTAGCTGTGTTTCTCGCGTCAGATGTGTTGCTTGAACGACATGGAATTTGTGAGATACATACTTGGAAGCGTTTGCATGATACAACTGCGAGTAGACCAAGGTGCCCATAAGTCTTTGGATTTTAAAGTGGACTTGCTTTGTTGATGATAACCACATATCAAAATTACCTTGCGAAAAAAGGAAGCTGTTTCAATGACTAGATATGGGTGGCTGCATTTTAGACAGTCTTCTCTATCTGCACCACTATTAAATGAGCCATTATCACTGAATTACCGCGTCACCTACTGTCGGTTCCCACACCCATTGGACAGCGAGGATCAGGGCAGTATTGGTCAATTAAGCGACTTCCGCTCCAATGCAAGCATTCTTCCAAACGCGGAAGGGAGCAGTGCGTACGTATTATCTGGTGTATTGTTTACCTGTGTAACGGAACATGTGCAATTCCATTCCCCAGCCGTGATAGTCTCATCTCTGCCCCTGGTCGAGTGCGGGCACACACACACACACGTCAGTGTTGTTCCCGGGTAACCGGAAAGTGTACACGTGTGCAGACATAATGAACAGCCGAGATTGTTTCGCGTGCCGTCGTACTCGTTGGACCGATGTGAGAAGCCGTCCGGCTGTTGTCTTCTATTCTGTATCAGTGAGACACCGCGCAACTTGCCGTCGATTTAGGGCTATGTAACATAGATAGACAGCGTATGAGATTGGACCAAGGGTGTTGAGGTGAGGAAAGCACCTGCACGGACGCAAAGCAACACAGACATTTTCTCTGTGCATTTGCCTAATGAGCTGTCGTTTGAACTGAAAAAGAAGCTACAACGTTGTTTGGCGATCACCACGACCACACGAACAAAGAGAGAATAACGTCCTACGATCGCTTGGTTGTCCCCTCGTTACCTGCACCTGCACAAACGATTATGCTTGATAGAGCAATTAGGCGAGCAATGCTGTGATCAACTGGGAACTGAGGTTTACACAGAGCTGGGTCCGCAGTGCAGGGTCAATGTTATCGGACTGTACTGATACTGATACTAACAAGCTACAAGACAGGTTGACAGGTGTACGTGAAATAGGATGCAGCAGCAAAAAATGGCAGTGCGCTCCGTTTAAACTAATTTTCATGGTGAAGGTATTTTCGGTGGTTGCACTGACGTGTGATAAGACTACGGAATATAGTTGATCGTTTCAGAAGGTTTCGCAAACGACCGGTTAGTGTATTTGTTTTGCTGAAAAAGCTTTCGCTTTTAATTCAAAAGCTTCATCAGGCGGGGGCGTTTAACTCGGTCGTGTTGCTTTCGCAGGACATCGTTTTTACAATATCGCCATGGCTACGTTAGTTTTCTAGAAATAGTTCAAAATGAACGATAGTCAAACAACTTCCAAGGTCACCACCGCTGCACCTGTTTACTTTTTTGACAAAAACAGGATACTGCGCATTTGAAGGTGGACCACGGCGAGGAGAAATCTAGCTTGTAACGCTGACCTGTCTACAGAATGCAGCTCTAGATTATTTGGTCCGAAAATGTTTCATTACTGCTCGTTTATACTGGCCGTTTATTCAAGTGACATCTGTACAAAGTGTCCATCTTCCATTATAGAAAATTTACTGTTCTAATGATGTACTTTCAGCCCATCCGTATTCGATATTGTAAAGGACTTAAAATGTACCCATAAGTACACGCAAAGCTTATCTTGCCTTGAGGTTGCTCTTCATAGTCTGGACAACCAGCAGATAGTTCAGGATCCAACGGCAAATTTTCACGGACTGAACATAGTGCGCTGAAACAGAAGGATTTCATTAAAATACTTGTTACTTTCATGCTTCTCTTGAGACGCATCACCAGTACCTGTGATCACCGAGTAGCCACTTGGAGTAGGAGAGCTATAAAGCCCATGCCAACGCAACCACACACGTAGATGAAACCCACTGTAATCTACAAGCCTTACATATGCGGCGATGGTTAGTTCTCATCTAATCAGTCACAATCAAGATGCATGATACCGTAAAGCGGCTAGTGTGGCCCAATGAACCACAGACAAGGCACAATGTGTTTACGCCTATGAGCGGAAGCGCGTCTTCCGCCATCCATGGTCGCATGGATTGTGTGCGGCTCATATTCACCAACTGGTGTTGGTTAACAGACCTTCCGATTTCGTATTGATAATTTGGGAATACTTCAACCAAGTAAACTGGCCAATGCTTGTCCTTTGTATACTTGATAACAGATTCTTGCCATGTGTGTTCGTCTAGTAGATAGCTTAACAGGAAACCTGAACGAACGAAGATCTCCGTCCCATACGGATGAATCCGGATAGACGAGAACATTGTTTAAATACCCTATCCGATATGAAATCAGTAGCGCGATTGCTATAACGCCTTCTATGTACCCTGCAGTTATCAGCCTGATCGTGTAGCAGTGATTTAATCTCGTCTGTGTCGAGCTTTACTAGTAAAACTTCGAGATAACAAGTTATCAAGTGTAGTCACCTAGGATGCAGTACACACATGACATTAGGGAATGGGGGCAGTGTATCCAGATTCACTTTTGGTGCACTCGAAACGGTTTGTGGGCTTTTCCAGGCAGCACTCACTTTAGGTAAGTGACGTGAATCGCTTTGACCTTAGAAATGTCGAAACGTGAAACCCACATCGTACTGGGGTAGTGCAAAGCGCACAGATCGACCATCCACATGAGCATCAAAATAGTTATAACGTCCGCTCGTTCATGGTTTGGTTGTGAAATGTCATGTGCTACTTGATGACAATATGATAGTACCTAAGTAGAGAAGCGACTATTCGCTTTTGACCAATCGTACTGGAGCTACAGCATCCCGATAATCAGCAGTTTTTCAATGTGACTTCGATTATGTGAATAAACGCAGTGGATTGATGCGGTTAGTGACTTGGCGAATTCCCTCCCATTTTAACCATCGCAAGGCATCTTTGTATGAAGGGTACGCTTCGAAACACGATCAACCTCCCAGCTGTTACGCAACTAGTTGCGCAAGTTCGCTTACTCTGGTCCGATAATTTCCTTATCCCATGTTTATGGGCTCTGCATCGGACCGAGTTGCACGGTTCAGCGTTTCACGCACCCATGCTAAGCGCGCAATATCTTTCTGCTTCAGTGCAAAGGTATTAGGCTGCTCCGAACCAGCTTTGCTATCCGGTGTAACACCGGGACGAATTTTGCGTAAAAAAGCATATCTCGAAAATCTCATAATTCACTTTTAATGACTCCGTTGGTCAGATTCTAAGTAGACATACCCGGAGAATATATCACTGCGGCTTCAATATGGTGAGAAGCATTGATCCTCTGACGCTTCGATACTCGATGCTGCCAACAGCTCTTACTAACTGACCCTAACTAGGACCGCATCAGCAGATACTTTGTGGTGCCCATATGGACTGGTTGAGGCAGTAAAGGAGGCTTAAGTGTACTTATTTGACACAGAATTGCTACTTGATTACGTATCGCAGTTGCAGGTCCGGTGGAAGTCTCTTGGGTTGGAATTACATCGACAGTTATGTTCGCGGAACAATTGTTCCCTTCAGAATTACGAGTCGGAGGAAAAGATCGGAAAGGTGGGGATAAGCAGAGTAACCTATAGTGTTGGATTAGTTTCGGCTTCCCGTGTAACCACCTAGATGCACCTAGGTGCATCATACGTGACCAACTCCGTCGATGATCAAATCTCTCCTGACCTCAGATTTAAGGAAGAATAAGAACACTAAGAACGATCGTTGTGGATATGGCATGTGGCCACCAAGCGAAGACCACCGAAGTCCCTGTTAACCGTAAACGCACAGACAGCAATGTTTGTGCGTGGTTGTCCGTAGATTCTATTTCTCAGTAGTGTGGTCTCGTGTATCCAGGCCTTACATCATCTATGATTGAAGTGAAGAATTAGATGAAGTTCATTTGATTACCACTTCACTAGTCACCAGAATTAGCGGCGGGGACCAACTTGCGCTCGTCAGAAAATAAGAAGTGACTTTTATGCGTCTCTACGGTTTGAGGCACCGGGATAGCTAATACTAAAATTTTTACCATCTGTTTTTCTGAACGCATCATTTCAATTGGAAAACTGTGGTGGTCTTTTAGATATGGTCACCGGGATTGTCGGCATAGTGGTATAAGGATTTCACAGAGCCTTAGAAACGCAAGTAGAATTACAAATAAATTGTCTTTGAGGTCATTAACACAGTAAGTCTGAACAGTGTCGTAAGAAGTCGCACCGCTGCCTAGAACGCCTTATTTTCCGCCACGCACAACCCATTTGTTTCCAACCCTGTCACGGTCGAAATAAAACACAATATGATCACCAAACAGCATACTAAACCTCGGGTAGACGACGCTTGCGACCGTGTATACAGTACTCGTCCGAATGTTGAAAAGTTGGTGCAGCCTCGTTGATGGATCAAACTGGACAGATGAAACAACAGAGAATGGTGCAACCATTTTTATTGTAAACAAAAGATTTGTCATCATCTTTTGTACCAACAGAAATGCATATACTGTGCAGCATAACCAGAGCTAGTGTGCTGAGCTCACTTTGTACGCAGGTGCATAGGAGCGTCGTGAGCACTTCAATACATCGCTTTGATGAAGCGCTGCGGCTTCTCAGCTTGCAGCAGACATGCGTATCAGTGTTCATGGGTGAGCGAGCCATTGGAATCCGCCGTGTGCACACAACGGTGGTACTTAATGACGAGTTACTCCTCTAGTCCAATGTTGAGGAGGAGGAGGAGGAGGAGATTGAAGAATGAACTGCAGTTGATTATCAAAGGGAATTTACAGCTGCATAATCCTCATGAGAGTAGGTAACACATGACCAGCCCAGTGTTCAGCACATTTAAAGGATGGGCGAGATCGGTTCTCGCGAGACCGTGGTGTTCATGCTGTTCTCGAATGGAGGTTGAGCGTAGAAAACATGGCGCGTCTGTCTTTCTATCCATGAGCGGGGATATTACACGTTAGGGCGTACGAAACAGTACAAGTGATTAAAGATGGGTGAGGTTGTCCAATAGTATATTCTGCTTTGGCTCACTGACGCATTCACTACATTGCGACTGTTCATTATCCTCCTGCTCCTGTTTCTGCTGGTGTGGCTCCTCTTGTCTTTCTTCCAACTTCAGCTCCGCCAACAATCCGTCTATGGTAAAACTTTCGGAGGACTCTTCCGATCGTAGGGACATCGCATACGACCGATTAGCTTGCGGTTGCATCGGATCTATGTGAACAGTGGTATCCGGAGGATGGGGCACCGCAAGTGCCTCGCTGTTTTTCGGCGTAACGCTGCCACTAGCCTTCACTCCATCACCATCGACTGAGGTATAGATTGAAGCTGATTCATTATGGTGAATATCCAGGGCTGCGTTAGGGTGACACGGAGTTTTACTAGTTTCTGAGCGAGGAAAAGTGCATCCAAGGTTAACTTCCTCACCAGGTCCACGGACACTACCCATATGCTCACGTGTGTTAGCACACAGAGAACTCTGATTTGTTGAACTGACTGCATTGCAGCATTGACGTGGCATGTTTACCATGAGTTGCTGGGTCGGCATATGACCGTCGAATTCCCGTGGAGGCTCAGCTTGTGTTTTGTTGGCCAGAGCATAATGCATGACTGTTGCAGATCCAGATTCGAGTGCTCCTTGCTTTCCCCCTCCACAATCTTTGCCCTCCTGATTTAACAAAGGAATGAAGCTTCCAACAGAAGCACCAGAATAGCTAGTATTCACTGCATTAGTGCTACAAAGCGAATAATTATCAGAAGTCACGGCCATTGGCGCACCAACTCCATTAAAGGGGCTCCCTGTCCAATATGGTAAAGAACCGTTTATGCTGTTGGGCACAGAAGACATCAAAGGTGCCTGGTATTGCGATGTCGTAGGGTAATCGAAGAGGGAAGCTCTGTGGCCGGAAAAATAGAAGTGTTGCTTGAGTTGAGTTGAGTGGCTACTGTTGTCACTTTCAGTAGGCAGCATGGAACTGGATATTTGTTGCTTGTTTTGTTCATTTCCTTTGGTTTTTCCCTGAATAAAATCTCCATTGGAAACGGTGGCCGACCCCCCAGATGTTAGACGTTCAACCAGAGCGTCCAGTTGTTGGTACCCATCGGAAGACAAACTATATTGACAGGTGCTTGATGCAGCATGATTAGACAGGGTTTTAGGCGGCTGTTTATATGAGATACTATCGGAGGTGACACTAAGACAAACAGGATTCGGTCCGTAGGATGGTGCAGCTGTGCCAGGTTTTGGATATATACTGTGAGTGAGTCCTGAGATAAGTGGAGGTTGCGCTGCACACTGGGCTTGCGAACCTGTTTGATTCATAGTAGATGAGCAGCTGAGACTCAGTTGAAATTGACTTAGAGATGGATTGGTGAACAGGGAATTCGAGTAGGGTAGTCCTTCACTGGAAATTTCACTTCCAGGGCCAATAATGCGTGGGTCAGGCTGCACTGCCGAACCACTGGGAAGCGTCGTAAGTGACTCACTTTGTGACGTTGGAGTTGGAAATACTGACGGTGCGTACACTGCAGAGGAATTCGCACGATATGCAGTTTGTGGGGACAGCCCAGTTGAAACAAATTCATTGGTTGGTTGAAGATAATTTAGGGTGCCCTGCGGAGCGAGGACCATTGGGGTACTGTAGCTCGGTCTGTTAGGATACATTGACTGTGAACCGGAAGACTGCTGAGGATGCGGAACTTGACAGCAGTTATAATGGCTCGATGCAATTTGAGAGCTTGTTATGGGGGGAGCATACGGGTTACACTGACTGAAGGCAGGAACGCAGGAATAGTTCCGCAGCCGAAGACAGCTAGGATTAGGAATATCATAAGACTCCGGAGGGAAAGGTTCCATCGAAAAGTGACGCTGTGGCGTTTCAAAAGGTATAGCTCCTGAGGTCATAACAAAGTCATCTGAGGTTGCTTCGTTAAAAGCAAGAGAGTTAATCCGATTCGAATGACGCGCATTGGAACTTTGTGCCCACTCCAGCTTTCTGCCTGTATTCTCCTCTCCTGCGCCTGGATTGCCGTGTGGTTCCATCCCCTGGCGTGGAATTGCAACCATGTCAGACTCTAGCAAAGGCCTGTTGCTGTATGCGACACGGTGTGATAGTTTACCTGTAGATGAAACAGGAGACGTTTGTATCTCAGAAAGTCATTGGCAGCTGATAATGGCTGATAAAATATTGTATAACGTACAAAACTCCAAAACCATTAAGGATGCAACCGGGACACAACGTCCGGAAACACATGCCAGCTCTAACTGTGAAGATCGCCAGGTTGGCGGTAAAGGTGTCGCCCGTACACACAATGTCCTTGGTTCGACCATTATGAGCTGCAGTTAGACCTCCATGCTATGCACAAACAAGGACGAAACAAGCCTCGGATGCGGTTGGAATAAACAGCGTCGATTTTATATATTGTACTATCAGGGCGTACAGTTCGTTTCGACTTTAAGAAAAACGCCTGCTCGGCTACTCTTTGAGAAGCTGATTTCCGGTTGCGTGAACTCGGTTTCGAACTATCACCTGTAACAATATGCGCATACTAGGAATTCGTTTCCTGTGGTCTCACAAGGTAAAGGCTACAGCAACCTGTACGTCATCGTCCTAGTTTCAACAAACCCTATTGTGTTCAAATGATTAGTTTAAAGAATTAGTTGAAACAATGGAACGGGTGAAAAAGCAATGGGTTAACAAGTTCCATGGAGTAGTCAGTACGACAACTACAAAATGCAAAAAATGAACACAACAAAGAAATGAAAAGTGTCTCTAGGTAGACTCGCTATCATACTCACATTGAAATTTCTGCAGTCATGAGTGCACAATAGTGCATTGTCGACTTGACTCACATAAAGGCACGCGCAAAGCAGACTAACTCTATTGTGTGAAAAAATACTGGTGAGCTCACAGGTTGTTATTTAAAATAGTTTACCGATGCGCATGGGCTATGTCGTGCAGTGCAGGCAAATTAAAGCAGTGTTAAGGCGCTAATTACTATTAGCCAGGCGTTCCATAACGGATACACAAGTATAGAAATGATTCCGGAAACACACCAGTCGGCTATTTGACATGATCACATGTGACTGATGGCCACTCAGGTTGGTGTCGAGACTGAGTTGCCAAAAATGGTGAAAATGTGGTTCGGATTCCTTAGGATCAGTTGATCATTTTAAGTGGACTTCTTTAAAAACGACTGTATGAAACATTTAAAGACTATAGGAAAGATGATGGGATTGCATGTTTAATGTCGGCCGGCAAGAATACCCGGTTACCAAAAGATAACAAAACACGACATTGTTCAAGCACAAGGGCTATCCAGACAGAAAGCGTAATTTGTGAGCGGAATAGCTTTAGCTTTACATTTGTACCACACAAGAAATATGATACCATTTACTGGGCAGTGACAAAATGCATAATGCAGACATTGACAAACGACATCGTTTCTAGCTTGTCCACCGTAAAAGTACCTGAGTAAGTTCGAGTGACATCATTGTGACCAACTGGTTAAGTTTCAAATGTTGAGTATGTATCAGTTATATTCCGTAAATATGACATGCATCATACGTGGTAGTCGTGACACCAGGTGTTATATGGAGTCGAGAAGGAATGTAATAAATGCAGGCTAGCCATTGAAAAACTTCAAATTATCAGGTAGTATGTAAGAGAGTAGGTTAGGAGTTGTGTACTTAAATGGTCCATTATTTGTGTTGCTGAATGCAGCAGGTTGATTATTTTAGTTAGAGCGAATCGCCCCTAGCCTTTTGACAAGTATTCAGTTATTGACGGGTTAGTAGACTAGGTTATACGAGTAGTTTCTGGGTAACACAAAGATACCCGAGGAACTTTTCTACACTTCAAACAGATGAAGGCTAGTATATTTTAAAGTTATGGACCGGAAATAACTAAGGTCACGTACAATGAGTGGTTTCAAATTGGCGGTCATATAAAAGTCATTGAGTCATGAAATTCATGCAGTATAGAAAAAGTAAGAAAAATCGATGTGCGAAAAGTGTATATGTCCACGTCAAGTATGCCGAAGAATGGTTTACACGGCTGGGAAAAAAGTGGTCCTAAAGGTAAGATATCGGCAAACATACGTTATGATTCATAAGTGATGAGCACTGCATTTGTTACGTATACAAGTGATATGGTAATGAGCAATCCCACTAACCATCTTCATCCTCCTTACACGTTAGCTAAAGGTGAGAAACCTCTCAGCCATTGTGCTACAACACAAACATAGGATTTTTGAAACTGCGAAATCCTGATCACTACATAATACAAAAAGCAAGTAATATGACATTATGCGTCAGCAATGAGATCGTGGTTAGAGGGGAGCTAAACGGGAGGGGGAGGGACAAAGAGAGTCATAACAGGAAAGGTTGTTGGGCCCACACTTCGCCATATCAACTAGTGTATACAACCGATAGTGTTCATCGTCCTTCGGACCCCAGCCCGGCAGTCAGGAAACACCAACCGAAGCCAAGTTCAAAGGGACAGTGTTCATTCCATTTGACCACGTCATCGCTTGGTGTCATCTCATCTTCCATCCTGACACCGAGCGCGTAAACAACGCTTACGCCAACCATCCACCGGTTTTCAGTGAGTTGATTTCGAAACTAAACACCTCATGGGTCACCGCGAAACGAAGTAAGGTCTCGAAGAAAACGGTATACAACGCATCAGAGCTACGCTTATTTGTGTTCAGCGAAGGTACCAGTGTCAAATCAATGCACGTCTCATTAACTATATAAGTTCACATTCAGCTGGGAAGGCAGCTAATTTGGGCGCACTGACCGAAATCTAGGTGTCCGAGTCAATGGACCCAATCGTAAACAGATGGAACACGCGATTGTCGCACCACTTGCCTCGAGAAGCAAGGTTGTCACAGCAATTACGTGGCAGTTGCTGAGCACCGGCATCATCATCTTCAATACACGTTAGCTGAGGGTGCGAAACATGTCTCCACTAACGTGTCGCAATGCAAAAAGTTGGGATACTAAAAAATAACACTAAAACATTCAAACAAACAAGTAATGAAATGTTAATTATCATAATATTTATTTGCTATGCGATCGTGCTTTGAGGGGACTCTAAAGGAAAGCGTGATGGAAAAAGAAACTCAAAACACAAACGCCATTGGGGCCGACTGTACGCTATGTCCGAAAGTGTGTCCAACCAAACATGTTCATTGTCCTCGGGACTCCAGCTCGGCACTTGGGAGATACCAACCCACACCAAGTGAAGGTTTTCATTCCTCTCGACCAAGTCATCATTTGGCCTGTTCTCCTCCGCTTCCATCCACACGCCGTACGCGCGAATAACCCAAGACGCGGGAGTCCGTGTTCCGGTATGCGCTGCATGTGGCCCAGCCATCGTGCGTGAGATAATGGCTCTGAGCGGTTCACTCGCTCTTCCTGCACCAAATACACGGCGCCGAGCACATTCATTGTTCACGCGGTGCTCCCACCAGACATGAGCTATGTTATGAAGGCAGCGGTGATCGAACATAGACTCTTTATATCTGTTGACGTGATAGGACAGGTTTCACAACCGTATACAAGGTTTGTGCGGACGTCTACAGTGTGAACAGTGTGAATGATATCGCGTCGACGCTATAGGTGGCGGAGATTGGCAACAGCACCTCAAACATTTGCTATACGGTTCGTAACCTCAGCTTCCATCCCACGGGCGCTAATATGGCTGCCCAGCTACTTGAATTTCTGAACGACTTCTAGGTGATCACAACCAAGGGTCAGCGCAGGGGTGGGTCCATGCCAGTCTTGGAGGACTTTGCATTTCGAGGGAGCAAAGCATAGCCCAAAGCAATTGACAGCCAGTGCTATCGGTCCAGTGCTGCTTGGCACATTGGGCCGCTTTCACAGCTTAGGGCAATATCGTCCGCATACTCCAAGTCAAGAAGTCGCTCACCTGGAAGTGGCTCCACAGCTTGCAAGTCGCGTCTCGCCAATGCTATTTCCTTGACCTCGTCAATAGCTAAGATAAATAGGAAAGGTGACAATGGGCAACTTGTCTCACATCACTGGAGATACTGTAGGGTAAAGACAGTTTGCCACAGACCCTCACTCTGCTCGAACCATGCGCGCACAGCTCTCTGATAATGTTTACGTATTTCTCAGGCATAAATTACCTCAGCAGACAGTCCCAAAGAGCACATCGAACAACCGAATCGGAGGCCCATTTGATGTCGAGAAACGCGCTAACGGTGGGTTCCCAATAAATATGGCGATGCTCCAACTACTAATGCACAAAAAAGAGGTAGTCGATGCAGCCACGATTTTGACGAATCTCGGCTTGCTCCTCGCGAATCTGACTTTCACGCTTGCCAGTCAGTCTGTGGTGAACGACAGATGACAACGATTTAGATGAGCACCGGTCATCAGATAGATCTCGATGTATCATTCACAGTCCTCATGCGCAGTCAAAGCCCTTACATTCGCAATTCGCATTGTTGTCGATCGACAGCGCCCACCACTCTGTGTTCAAAAACAGTCGACAGTGACACTAAGCTTGTCATCGTAGGGTGTAACGCACGAATCGAAAACAGTCGAACAGCAATCTATTTCATGTGAGCTTATCTTAGTAACTTGACCATCTACATGCCCGCGGCCGAAAAGTCTGCGCAAATACTAGTGTTATCACACAATCCGCGTTTTTTGATATCATTATCTAGAATTATTTGAGGGATTCCACCTGATAAAAATGACGGTTCCAAAAACTGATGTAAACTAGAGATACGGTAAAGATAGATCCGATATCGACGATGCCAAGCTTACTCTTCCCGAATCCGGCGTTCACAGGTACTAGCCAGACGGTGGAGAAATACAGACGCTAACAAGTTACAGGCAAATTGGACCAGATTGATCCATATATGAGAGGATTGTCCTGTTATCCGAGCCGGGCATTTTTGTTGCAGACGTTTCGTTACCAAACTAGGCAACATTTTCAGTGCGGCTATTCAGTCCTGATTTGCGGAGTCTCGCAAACCAATGCCAGATCCGAATGATTCGTGATTGTTACCTACTTCAAATGTCACTCTTCGATCGGTTCACGTCTCCTTGTCGATCTGGTGCCTATTGCTGGCTTAACCTGCAG